ATAAACAATTTTGATGAAGAATTGAAGCCAACTATTGTTAGTGACTCTAATATTTCCAATGAATAGAGTTTTGAAAAATATTTTCGTTCATCTCTTTATGTCAACATTTGATAACAAATGATTGTCTTTTAATGGTAACGATTAATGACATGTTAGGTCTCAGACAACACGAGAGAGAGAGAGAGAGAGAGAGAGAGAGAGAGATCCATAGCCCCATCACATTGAGTTCAATCCATTTTATACAACATTAAAACATATTTACTTTATGTGCGGATATTATGGACAGAGAATTCAACTCAACTTAAAGATAATATTAAGTGTTATTTCAAAATACTTGTCAAATGAATGGATAAACTCGAAGTGATTTTGTGTATAAAACACTCAAAATTACTATCGATTTCACGACTCGTTTTCAGTAATGAAATGATGGCCGAAATAAATCATAACTCTGTTCACAAATAATAATATTAACACAAAAGTCCAACAAAAACTGGTGTTCAAAGTGCTGGTTATGAAAGAAAGAAAGAAAAAAGTTTTTAAAATATTAGTCTTTCCGATGGGGGAAGTCGTTAGAGACAACAGAGAAGTGAACATCAATTTTGTTTCATATGAACACTGTTTTGCTATCATAAACATAAACATAATTTCTTCTATTCTTTTAAATCATAATAATATTCAGTATTGTATAGAAAAAAGGAGTTTTGTTTGAATAAAACTCTCTCTCTCTCTCTCTCTCTCGCTCGCTCTCTCTCTCGCTCTCTCTCTCTCTCTCTCTCTCCATTTGTTTGTAATTTGTTTTTTCTATACCAAAATAAATGAACAAATAGTTGGTCCGCCATACCAGACAATCACATAGAAAATATTTGTTGAGAAGATATATGTGTTTTAACAGTATTTTTATTTCCATTGTATTGTAGACGCAAATCATGGGATAAAATGAGAAATAAAAAACTCATTTAATTTAGAAATGTATACAAAAGGAAGTAAAAGGAAAGAATATTATTACGAAATGAATTAAATAAAATATATATAACATAAAGCATCAGTGACCATTATAATTAAATACAAATAGCGATTCATGATATTTAATAAATCAAATAAATACTAAATAAATTGTATCTACCGGTGCTCTAATATACAACCACAGGTCAATGTAATGATTGGATACGGAGGGCAGAGATAATGAATTAAAGCTTATATTGTGAGTAAATTTCTTATTGAAAACATCTGTAGAAAATAAGTATCAAAATATTTTTTCATTTCAACTTTTCTATAGTGCTTTATATTTAAGCACTTTTTGCTCATATATTTTATAATACCATTAGTATCGATGAGTTCTACCTTTAATTCGCTCTCTCTCTCTCTCTCTCTCTCTCTCTCTCTCTCTCTCCCTCTCTTGTTGTTAAACTCAAAACCAAAAACCAAAATAAAGTCTCAATTTTGGGAAATAATTTGTTTTTTCAGTGGTTTTGTCTCCAAAATCATCGCTCCAGAGAAATAGCATCTCTCTCTCTCTCTCTCTCTCTAAACAACTCAAAAGTGAGTTATTCTATACATTCATCTCATAGTTAGATATGAAATATGTTTTTTAACGTATTTGTGGTTCAAAATTGCGGACTTTTACCGGTTGTGTGCATTCGTACACAACATGCGAAAACATACCATTCCTTATGTGCTGTAATATATTCCCAAATAAAATATAGTCAATACTTTCTTTTTATATTTGTTTTCTTTCTAAATATAAGTACATAATATGATATAAGAAAGTATTCAATAAAAATAAAATCCAAATCCTATGAAATGGGTATATCTATCAATAAAAATATTATCCCAACTCTTATAACAAAAATGTTTTTATTCACTTAAGATAAAACATTTTCTGTAACTATATGCCTTGTTTTAAGATTTAAACATAACTTTAACTATAATTTATCAGATTAAAATAACTATATCATAGACTTAGAGATTTGTCCAAAATTTAAGTTTTAATTGATATTTTGTCCAAATATTGGTTACAAGACTTTTAATCAATTTTTATACACAAATAATTATTATGCTTATTAGTAAAAATGTCTTTTCATTCAAATTCATTTCCTAAAGAAATTCTATATTTGTCATCGTTTTTGTGTAATTTTCAAAAGACATTCAATTATATGAAGTATTCAAATAAGATTTTTAATTTAAAAGCATACTTACATTTGTTGACTCAATATATTCTTAAATATGAATTTACTCAAAAATATGCTATACTTAAAAGTTTTATCAATTCAAAGCTCAATACTTATAAATTTATATTCATTAAAGATATCCTTACATAAGATTAGTAATCTTTTGTCTAAATATGGTTAATTTTTAACTGTTAAATGTCACAAAAATCATAATGTTACTTGGTCTCCATCACTAGTGTTTATTTTGAAGTAGAAATCCTGTATTTCTCATTGTTTTAGTCAAATAATGTTCAGTTGTTTATTCAGTATTTTTGGTTTACATTGTAATCTTCAACTGAGAATCTCGTGAACGCATTGAATAAAAGCACAGATTTATTGGCAAATTGTAATAATTATAGCAAATATTCCGTGATTTGTAACCATTTCATTATATTCACGACTAATCTATTGGGAAATGCGATCAAATGCTCGGCCAATGCGAGTGAATCCACACACAAAAAAATCTCACAATAAAACTCAACATTCAGTATATTCTGTGCCATTAGTTCCGGGGAAATAGCAAAAGTAGACACAAATGCCTAACCTTTCATCTTTAGATGCCTTTCCATTATTTTATTCAGAAAAAATAAAAATTAATAAAAAACGAATTTCAAATTCCTGTTTATATTTGAATTTAATATGCAAAGAGTTTTTCACTTATATTATACAATACAAACGACAAGTTTTTACTTAAACTCATGAAACAAATGATTAAAAGTTTTAAGGCATAGATTGAGGCCATTGTCTAAATGTATGGTGAAGTGAATAATAGTTTAAGTTTAGTTACAAATGCTGCAAAAACAATTTATTTGTACGCCTATGACAATTCTTATAACACATACAAATGGCAAATCATATTTAAATTCTAGGCATTTGTCATAAGAGTAAGCGATTTCGTAAATATATTTTATTGTGAGACGTTTCCTAAGTTTTAAAATTTCATATTTCATTTATTGAATATTTAATCAACTATTTCATTAAGACAATTATTGCTCAAATATTTGATTTTAAATTATTGGTCTAGTTAATCCTATGTTTCTATGTTGTGTTAATAAATACTTTATATAGTGGATATTGAATGTCATAAATAAAAATATTTATTAAGTTATAACTTATAAGTTGGTACATTATAAAATTTCTTACTGTAAAAGCAATTAGTTACTAAAATCGTAATAAATTTCAAAATATGAATATACAGTAAACATCATATTTATGCAGTATATTACTTGTATTACATTGGATAATTAAACCTACATTTGTTTTTTAATAAATAAGCAACAAAAACTCTAAATTGATTTTTATAAAATTTAATAATTTTTTGAAATATTTGTTTTTAATTAAATACACAGAATAGAAATTCTTTAAATTCCTCTTTTTGGTAAAACAAATTGCATATTAATTTATATAGTTTCTAAACTTATGCCTATTATAAATATGAATTTAAAAATTTGTAACAAAGAAAACACGTTTAATTATATTCTAAATGAGCTTTTTTAAATCTATAAAAAAGTTAATATACGGTATTCTATTATATACAATAAAGAAATGTTTTATTATTAAACCTAAAGGCATTGCAATTCTGTTGCGAGAGAGAGAGAGAGAGAGAGAGCGAGAGAGAGAGAGAGAGAGAGATGCTATTTCTCTGGAGCGATGATTTTGGAGACAAAACCACTGAAAAAACAAATTATTTCCCAAAATTGAGACTTTATTTTGGTTTTTGGTTTTGAGTTTAACAACTACAAGAAGAAGAAACTAAAAATCAGTTTCTCAAAGAAAGAGCTTTGAATTCTTGACTTTTCTATCAATAGGAAAGGGAATCAAAAGACTTGTGTCTCAGAAGTAGTGGTCAAAAGACAATTCACTCTTTTATGTCGGTATGAATGGTCGCGAATCACTAAATCAGATAATCCATCGATTTTCTTGTCTCATCCGAAAGCCTGAAATCTTTTTTACTTCACACATGACTTTTGGGTCTCTCTCTCTCTCTCTCTCTCACTCTCTCTCACTCTCTCTCACTCACTCTCACTCACTCTCATTCACATTCCGTGCCATACATTTCAATCGCTTCCTTCTCGTACTCTTTCCTCACATCAATTGTCTTCAAAAATAAGAAATCAATTTTTCATATCTAATGATTTGAATTTGAATTTTCATTAATTCAAAGCAAATAACCTACTAGTACATTTGAATTGATTTCAATATACTCTACTGTACTGTACATACAGTATAATAATTCAAAGTTTGAATTTCAAAGTCAAATAAAAGCGATTCACGTGTTTGATAGGAAACTCATTTTTCTAAATCAATTGAAAATGTTATCATATTTCTTCATAATATTCATACATTGTTATATTCACTATTCATTATACAATAGTGTATTTTACTATAAAATTTACTCTCAAAATCTATATTCAATTCAATCAATTCTACGAGAATAAAGAAAAAGCAAAAAAAAACCTAATTTTCATATAAAATAAATGATTTGTTAGGAATTCCTAAAATATTTCCAAATCTCAAAAATCATTTGAATTTGATCGCAAAATATATAAAAATTCAACGATTTTGTTCAATATTTTATTAGATCTCATCAAATGCTATGCAAATGTGCGCAAACAAAATGAAATTTATATTTAGAGCCCAGAAATTCTTGCAATTGTTTATATAACAACATTATATTCAATATTCAGCCGTAGATTTACTTGTAATTCAATATTTTGCTTGAAAAGCAAAAAACATTTTTTCAACTTTATATTAAAGTTTTCGCAACGAATTCATCAAACATTAACACATGACATGTCTGTCCCACAGATCCCGCAAATATCATACGCGTCGACGAGCGTAGACCTGAGCGATAAGAGCCGGTTCGGGTACTTCAGTCGCACCGTCCCGCCCGACAATTTCCAGGCCCAGGCTATGGTCGACATAATCAAACTGTTCAACTGGACGTACGTGTCGACCATCGCCTCAGAGGGCGATTACGGCGAGAAAGGCATCGAGCACTTCAAGATCCTGGCCTCCAGGGACGGCATCTGTATCGCGGAATCAGCGAAAATCTCGCGAAATGCAAAGCATTCAGACTTCTTGCGGATCATTGAGCAGCTGTCGAGTAAAGGCAACGCCAGAGTAATCGTCCTCTTCGTCGACGAAGACAATTGTCGGCGACTGTTGTCCGCCTCCCGAGAGATGGGCAAAGAGGGCTACTTTCTATGGCTCGGCAGCGACTCCTGGGGCCGAAAGATACATCCCGTCAGAGGTTTCTCTCTTTCATTCATTAATTGGCACTCAAAATGAAATGTCTTATACAGTGTGTGTTGTCTTGTATTGAAAGGTCAAGAAGAGTCTGCGGGCGGAGCCATCACTATATTACCCAAACGAAAGCCCCTCAAAGGTATGGCATATATTGTTTGTCTAATGTATGAATTCCTAGAATAGTAACTGTTTTCTACTCACGAATAATGTTGATTCGCTTCAATCAACTCAACATACATTGCATTCACTGCTGGACTACTCTTATTGATTGTTCATATGCTATGAACTATACGTTTATTCATAGATAGATACAGAATGTCGTGCGAAATGAGTTAATGAGTTTTGACATTCATTTAGTTTTTATAATTTAATTACCACTTCAATAACTAATTTATAACTTAATTTATACGACATTATAGCAGATTTTTCATGATAACCACTAGATTTCCACAATATTTACTACTGTATTAAAATTTGTCGGACTTTCAGTCATAACAATCAAACAAAATCAATAAAAAATTTTGAACAGAATTTCAATTCAAATATAAGAATTGAATGCAAATTCTAGTGTTTATTATGATTTTCGGAAAAAGCTTTGCGTTTGAATTGAAAATACAAATGAGCCAACGGGTGATGTGATGTTGAATATCAATACATTTAAATGAAATCTGTTTCCAGAATCTATATATAGCACGACTAATATAAAAGGGGACATATATTTACAATATTGCAATTCTTATGCCCGACTTTGCTCCACATTATTGTCTATATTTGTTTGCAAACATTTATTTGCTTATCACCGCAAACAACAATTCGCTACAAAACTATAGCCGTAATTAAATTAATTATTAACATGAATGCATACCAATGCAAATTTAATATACCTTTATATGCAAACATTCAATTAATTGATGTGATCAATAAAAACAAATTCTGGTATTTTATCCTAGCCCTCATATTCTGTTTGATAAATTTGTTTTTGAATAGCGAAAATATTACAAAGTGTTTGCAATCTATTTAAAATTTTTTGAATTATAAATTTTTGAATAGGATTTTCAGGAATTTAGACATTTTATAAATTGTAAATACTGTATGTTTTTTATTATACACAAGTATACAGAATTAGTATATTTTACATGTATTCCTATAGGTTTTCTCACTATATCTTATAAAATGATAAATTATTATTACAGTATAAGTTTTGTACAGAAATTACATGAGAATACTTCACAAAAGAATTTTTGTCTATAATTCAAAGCAAAATAAATGTGATCAAGAATTTTGCGAACAAATTTTTGCTAGTATTTGACAGACATTTGAATTTAAGATCAATACATTGCAAATACACATTCAATCATATGCAGCACTGTATTTTAAATACATAAACTGAACACAAAATTTTGACAATTTTAATATTCACTATATATTCGCTGTTATATTAAATGTTTGCTAAAGTGCTTCAAAGCTTAATCGATTTTATGTTACAAATAATGTCCTATAGCTGTTTATAATTACATAAATATTAACATTTATTCTATAATTTTAATTTAAAATTATATTATATTGTCATATAAACTTTAAAATGCATAACTTTAAATAATATTTTTAAATTCATTTGGCAGTAGAAATATTATATTAAATTTTATAATACATTAAATTAGTGTCCAATAAGAATTTTATGAATTAAGTAAATCATAAGAAATGTAGGAAATAAACTTGATATTAAATCTTTATATATCTTTATATTACTGTTTATAGCAGTTATGCGTGATCTCAAATTATTTCTATCAATAAAACACCAAATCTGTTATTTTGTGTCTAAAATATGAAACTGTTTTCTATTAATTATTCAACTCTTAAAACACATGCAAATCACGAACAAAAACATGTCTAAAGAGTTAATTAAAATGTTTTAAATTATTTCAGTGAATGGGTCTCATTTGTTAAATGTGTATTTGTTTTACATTAAAGAAATCAATATAAAAAATCAATTTTTAAAACATTATAATTAAAATAATTGATAAATGAATATAATTCTTAATATAGGTTTTGATGCCTACTTCAAGCGACTCAAGCCCTCGACAAACATACGGAATCCATGGTTCATCCCTTTCTGGGAACAACACTTCAACTGTACGTTTGCTTTGCATTCGAGACGAAGTGAGTTTGATATGAGGAGATCCAAGCGCTGCACAGGTATGTCAATGTTATATTAATATACAATAATTTAAAATTCTATACTTTAAGTATATTATGGAGTTGGTAGCAAGGATAAGTTGGAAAATTAATAAAAGTTATAATTAGAAAGTAGTAAACGTGTTATGCGCTGATAATTCATAACCAATATTTTGCTACCTACTCGAGAATATAAGCTATTGTTAATAAAACAATTAATGTGTTTATAGGTGAGGAGAAAATATGGAAATATGAGCAAGAAGGTTTAGTGCCCTTCGTGGTGGACGCAGTCTATGCCATGGCTCACGCCATACATAACCTACTGAAAGACCGGTGCGGACGGGACGGCAATAAGATGTGTCACCCGAAAGAGTTCATCAAAGGCTCCGATTTACTCCGACATATTCGTAGCGTTTCCTTCAAAAGTAAGACATTATTTTGTTTATCAGATATTTCTTACGAGACTTTTTAATTAAAGTTTGCGCATAACTATAGCGGCATATGATTTGTCAGACAAAAAGTTCAATTTATTAATATATTACTGACGAGAGAAAGAAAGTTTCGGGAATACAGAGACGTGTCAAACATCAGAAATATGTTGTATTTACTAAAAATAACTATTGATTATTGAAAGTGAAAACTATTTACCGA